AATATTATCTGTCGTTATTACAACCCTACCATAAAATAAATATTCAATGAGAACAGTTGCGACTACAATAATGGTTCTCTCAAGAAATATCTGAATGAAGATTTGAACATGTTATGAAAGGAGATTTAAGCATTGCTGAAGAGGATAAACTCAATCTATACTGGAAAAAGGAACAAAGCGTAAAATGGTATCACAAGACAAAAAGTTAAAAATATTCACTACATGGACGATATGTTGAAAGTTATTACGCTTCCCAAAAACAACTGCAAAACAAACAATTATCATATAGATCTACTAAAAAACATTTATACTCTTGCTATCATAAATTTGTGAAACCACTGCTAATAAGTCTAACATAGCCAGTAGAAGAAAGTATTGCTCTTATAGAATTGTTGAGTAATATCAAAATTAACATGTATTCTGTTCTTCGAACGAGGCAGGAAATAATTACAGTATAGTTTGTAAAAAAAACCTTATTTGAGCATTATGATGAAGGAAATGGGCATTGAATATTATACAATTATTAAAACATATATCATGAAAATCTAATAACGCTTACGAACTTATTCAATGCAATAATAAATGTCCATGATGCTGAAACACAAAGTTCCTTGTGTTTGTAATAAGCGGCCATGGTTTCGGAATCGGATCTCCCATTATTCATGCACTTCCGAGGCTACATAAGGATCGTGTCGAATTTAAATTTATGACAGGTGCTCATAACTGCAGCATCAAACCTTTAGCTCGAGAGTTACACACTATTCTTAAGTTTATGAAGAAGCACTCTATTAGTTACACTAGAGTAATACAAAATAGAAACGGAACTAAAAAATATATTGGTCTATAAGTAATATCGATATTAGTGATGAGCTTAGTTCTTTTACCTATGACAATTTCAGGCTATACACACCTGATTTTACTGATATGTCCACAAATCTAAACTACACTCTCGTTATAAATAATATGTTAAAACTACTTAAAATTTGCTTCAGTAGTGCTAAGAAGACTATGACAGCAACTAGTGGGCACCACGTTTTTTGTGCAGACGACTTAGATATAGAAACTAACTAGAGATACTAGAGAGAATAACGTTTTTTATACAGACAGTTTTATCCGAGAGTTTTTGTGCCTTCGGAATTAGTATTTATAAACAGGTAAAATGCGAGCTACAAGGAGGAAACTCCAGCCCTCTCCTAGCGTATCTGATTCTTTCAATAATGGAATGTGATCATTCGAAAGGCCAAAGATTCAATAAGAATAAGCTTCATCCCATTCAAATATATGGACGATTTATCAGAAAGATATTGAAGAGCAATTTTCTTTAGTGTACAAAAATACACCTAAACTCAAAAAAATTTCGAGTGAGAAAAATAGTAATTATTCGATTTGAATATAAAATAAGTAATGGTAAGACCAGTATCAAACTATGCAACAAAACTGATGATTTCAGCTTCAATGTCATCCGATTTGCTCACTGCGGTACTAGTATCTCTGATACCAATGAAACCTCTGTTATATGTATGCATAGAAGTATTGAGAATTACTAGTACATGTCCTAATATGGAAAAATCACAAAGATAAAAGAAATGATGAAAATTCTTCTGAAAATTGGTCACAAAGAAGAATTCGTAATCATTAGAATAGTTAGGTGCATAAATAGAAATAAGTTTATATGTAACAAGTTTTTTATTATGGATGCTTTCAATAAAATCACCTATGTAGTTTATGGAATTCTGACACATAATGAGCATTTCCAATATATAACTTCATAATCATTCCTGCACTTGATTCACACAATACCTTTACCCATTCTTTTTTGAACTAACCCAATCCACTGATGAGCCTCAGGGGAAGGTGGAGTCAGCGGTTCATCTAGTGAAGAGGCGAAACGAGCCATCTTTGGTTTGTATGGCCACTTTGTCCTTTTGATGTGTTTGCTTATTGTCGTTTCTATGCTCCACTGACTTCAATATATTATTACACCTCACTTATACTCTGTGACCGGCTGTGTTCTAGAGTGCTCAAAGGAAAGGTGTACCCGTCAGTGGTGTGACAAACAATGCTCTTTGACAGCAAGTGCTCGTCTGTAAGAAAAATGAAGAAAGGCAGCCCTACTCCGGTGAAATGACAATGCATTGATGGTCATGCGGTTAGGCGCGACTGAACGTACCGGGTCGGAAATGCAGACCGGCTTAGGCCCTTGATGATGAGATAGCAGTACTGCGATGGTATACACGCTTATCGAGAAGGGACTCAGAATCACCCAGTGAGAAAACCATCTGAATTCGAGGTTCAAGGAGAGGGGAAAAAACACGAGAAGCCCTCAAGAAGAAGTGGCCAGAGGTGATCAGAAGGACCTTGCCGGAACTAGGATAACGGTAGAAGATGTCATAGAAAGAAGGAAGTACGGGCTCTGTCACGGCGCGACATTGACGATAGGGAGAAGAAAAAGCCTCATGTCCACCTCACACAGCTCTGGCTGAGCACTAATGAGATTATTCATACCTTCAAATTCTAAACTCATTGGGCTCGTCTTCAGAAAAAAAGGCGATGCATGCAATGTTTTCACCAAAATAGGAAAAGGCGCTTGTTGTCTCTTCTATTTAGATACTGCTATGACAAAACAATTCGTCTCTGCCGAGCAAAACCATATCAGTGCTGTAAATGATATCAAAAAATTATAAATTTTATTGAAATTGATCCTGGCTTCACAATCTAAACTACAATGTGCTTATGAGGTAACCCGTTGGGCAAAAGAAGACAATTACAATGACAACTCGATTCTTACAAAGGAAGGTAGTAATGAAGCGTCACGACACGGAATATTGCACGACATTTGTGCTGAAAGGTAAATTTTGAATGATCTATTGGTACAACGAATGGAACATTTTACAGTAGTACAGCATAGAAGCAAAATGAAACGTGTACAGCAGACATATCAAAACTCTAACGGCACCAATCTATTATCAGTCCGCATAATTGAAGTAATTTGTGACGGGAACGACTTTTTTGAGATCAATCGGTTATCCCTAGAATAAATCAATAGGCTCTATAAATAATTTAACGCTGTTTTCAAATGTAAAAAAAACTGCTTGAGATTGGCTACAGGAAGTAAAAGAAGCTTGACATGCAAGTACCACCACGAAATGAACAGCGCTCGCAGCACGCGACATATTCATCAAGTGAGCCGCACGCAACCGCACGCTCAACTGTCACGAACAACGGGCGCAGATCTCAAATAGCGGTGATAAGCAGGGGTGTTGCTTAACAAAGGAAACTACTCAGCGCACAATATACCGTAAAACATAACAAAAGGCTCTCGAGTTTGTGGTCCATCGAATTCGGAATCAAATTTATAAGAAAACATTAGAAATAAATGAAATACTATTGAGGAAGAAGAGAGAAGGACAAGACGACTGCTAGTGCTTCGAAGATGGAGAGATTTTCCGTAGAAAGCAGGTACAGAAAAATGAAGTGTAGAGGAACGACAGCAGTTAACAGGCTAGGTTGGTGAAATTTTCTCAGAATTGAATCGGAACGTTTGCGGTAGACCCATCTTCTTGGCCACTTCTTTATAAGCTGGCGTGTGCACAAAACGTGAGAAACAATCCTGAAATCGGTGAAATCAATCAGGTCAGAAATCGCAACTATTACTGATCTACGGGCATAAAAATAACGCTACTGTGACCAACTGAAGTACGGGTTCAAATGTAACAAAGCAGTCTGAAACTTCCATAGCTCGTGGGTTATCAGCTATATAGAAAGAGCAGCTGATTAGTGACGCTTTTCGTCATCAGGATTGAGGTGAAGCTTTTATCCAGAAGTTGAAAAGGTAGAAAAAATAGAGGATTGTGCACGCTGCTTGCTAAAAGCAGTTAGCTGGGCCTTACCACATCACGACTCGGGTTACATAGTGAATTCCGCTCCATAAAACACGCAGACTCTGTAGGAAAAACGTTCTCCCACGCAGGGCTTCTCATATGACAATGTAGATGGATTTCATACTTTGACCAAGGGTCAACATGTCAAGTGAAATCGTGGGGGTGAACAAAAGAAGCTGGTCAAAGCGTGGGACCTTATTCTCGTTGATGTTGCTCTGACGGCATTTGTTCGCACTTGACATATAGTTTGGATTTTGCCACTGATTTGTATCCATAAGTCAGTATTTACCAGTGGGGTTGAGCCAAATGCTGAATTCCCTAGCGGTAGCGAAGACATGCGCTGCGATGTTGTTAAGCCGTATATGTAAACATCTGCTTAAGAGGCACGCAGGAAAAGGAGCGATTCCCCATCAAAGCTTTCTGACTGACGAAGCTATAGAGTTTGTCGATACTCTCAGCTTACGCAGTCGGCAGGACCTGACTGATGGGCATTTCAGCAAATTCATGGTTGCGTTGCTTCGAAAAGAACCGGATGCTCCTGTAGAGCGCCCGACTTTTGTAGTCAACCTCGATTAGTGGACTGGGAACTGTTCCTATACCAAACCGAATTGTAGCAGGAAAGCAAGTAAAGAGGAAGACCGAGACCAATCTAATACAATTACAACCCAACCTAATTCAGTGAAAAAACTGTAAAAATAGGCCCAAGACGTAGAGATGTAATCGTAGTACGATGAATGGCCGGCAGATGTGCCAAGGCATCACATCTCAATATCCAGGAATCGCAGAAGGATTCTGAACACCCCAATCCAATCATTCACCCACCCAAACTAATTTATGTTTCATTAAAATGATGACTTGACTTCCCATGAACGCATCATTTGAGAACTTTGAAACAAACCTTCTCCATCAATCGGTAAACATGTGCTTGAGCTCTTTCGTAAATATTATCGGGAAATGATGACGGATCCTGATTCTCGACCCTGAAAGGACAAACTTTTGGTGAAGATAGGATCATTTTTCCTCCCTTTTCAGTCTTTTTTTTACGGGGCCAGGGAAACTTCAATGTCGTAATTAACGTAAAGTAATCTTGAATAGTTCAGTTGGAACCCAACTCAAAGATAGAGGACGTCTACATCTAACTCTGAACTTCTTTGTAGAAAAAGGACTAATTCAAAGGGTGATATTTCCGGAAAAAAGCTTAATTTTTGATTTTGAGAGATTCAACTTTAATGTGAAATATTATGAAGAAATATTACAACAATGTTACCATCCTTCGGAGCAGGTAGAAAAAGATTTATAGGAAAAACATCATCCCGAACGATAAATCCTCATGAAAACCTGTATCATGAAAAGGCTTCCACCCATTGCGAGACAACCTGAAGCCCTACGTAATGTGTGTCATATGGATGATTGACATTTTAGGAGTGCATAAAAGAGATAAAAGAGCTAATCGCCAGTGTTCATAAAAAATTTTCAACCAAACATCCTCAGGACACATTCAAGGATGTAATTTCGAACGGAATGTTCGAGTGCTATTCCGAGCATGAGATTCGTTTTGTTAATCAAATATGGTAATTTCCAGTTTACGCCATAGATGAGGGGCAGCTTCTCATCCATTCGTTTCTCCATGCATTTTCAGATTCTTCAAAATTGAAAGCGGAGATGCCGCATTGCAAATGCAGCCCCTGTGTAAGGCTGAGTCCATTACTAGACCACACACTTCAGCATTGGATTCGATTTCCCGGTCGAAGAACGGGGGAGGATATCATTTCTTAGCTCACAGATTGCTTTCGCATAGGAGGGACTCCTGGGAGCACAAAGACTCAGAACTGGAGGCGGGATTGGAAGAGGTTCAGAACGGTCAAGCTATGTCAAATTCTCAGTCTACAGTTAGGCAGTTACTACGCCCATCGATGGAGAGTCACAGATCAAAAAGTATGAATTACGATTTAGCAACAGATCGGTTGAGATAAAAACTAATTCAGTGCATCATGTATAAACCCTTTAGGGCCCGTATACGATTTTAGGCTGTATTGTGCTGATCATCTTGGCTTCTGAATTCCCAATTTACTAGCAGCCATACGCACGACTTCTCAAACCGAAATGAAGAAAGGCCTGATTTGGGTTTCTGGTTTGGGAATCTACCCCTCCGATGCCTTTTTTTTGATACGTTTGCGAGGACTACACCCAGAGATAAAATAGTACTCTTAGAAAGGAAATGTTTACAACGACGAAAAAACACCATGACAACCTTTTCTTAGAAGCACAGCTGCGGCTCACCAAACAGACCCTTAAGGTATCATTTTTCGTAAAAGCACATACATATAAACACTGGCTGACCCCTCGTTGCCGCTGAACTGGTGAAAGTTTAGCTCGGGTAATGCTCGGAAGTTTCTGGTGCCTTCCTGTCAACGTTCTCAGGAGGGTCATAGTGGAATCATGCGGTGAAATTTAATTAGTCGCATTGGACTTTCAATGTCAGGAAATGAAGGAGAAACGAGAGGCAACCAATTTTGTGTTCCTTCCAAATTCCAATCCCATCAACCGTACCAATGTTCCCCAACAGTCCCACATAGCCCTTCAAAAACTAATTACACTGCAGTCCTTAATTTTTTCTGAACATAAGGGTTTCAACGAGAGATTGTCGACCACCGAATCAACTGACCGGTCAATGATATCCGTCCTTGTGTCATGATCGATATTGATGGCTAGCGGACTCTCGGAAGCGATGAACGTCTCGAACATCTCCAGAACTGTCCGTTCGAACTCGGGTCGTGATTCAGACGCACTGACTGCTTTTAGTTCTTCAACAGCCCACCTAAATATAACGGATTACGATAACTGCATTAACTTTCTACACTATCTGATCGTCCTATCTGGTCACACTACTACTTGTGTAGGATCATAAAAAGACGTCCGAGGCAGTCAGACCAACCAACCCTTTCATCCTCGGGGTCGGTTGGTTGGTACCAGATTTGTCTGTGGAATAAAAACGCCGGCTTGTACATTGGCTGGAAACTACAAGACATTTTATAAGCCATANAGGGTGACCCACATGAAATGTGACGCAGAAAACTAGCATCAAAATTATACAAATCAAACCAAATAGGGAACTATCACTCCCACACAATCACCACAAAATTATAAACAACATATCACATCTCGCAAGCAGAATGACCATATTTCGTTTCAATGCAAGCATCCAACCTCTTTCGGAAGTTTTCAAGAATGCGCGCAATCACTTTCACCCGACACTTCTACGAGAGAGCTTTCTTTCAGAGGCTCCGAGGACCTGTGTTTGGAAGCGGAGGCTTTTTGCTTCAGAATCGTTGATACAGCAAAATCCACAGGATTGAGATCGGGGAATTTGACGGTCAATCCTGCTTCGCCCCAAAAACCTGGGTGCGTGGTTTCACAACAATGGAGCATCTTCTTTGCGCTGTGGGCTGGAGCCCAATCCTGGGAAAAGTTTCGCTGACTTTTATCGCGTTCCTTTCCGCCCAATGGATCACCGCATCCTCCAGCCCAGAAGCCCATAAGTTGAATTTTTTATTGCCCGTCACATTTCATGTGGGTCACCCTGTATGCGCATTCAAAACGCCGCTATAATTCTGAGTGAAAGTCGAATACGGAACGCATCCTAGAAACGGGATTGATCGAAGTCCTCAGACTTTGAACTTTCATTGGCCAGTCGTTACCTACCGATATCGATTCATTGTATGATTGACCAAGTGTTCGTAACTTCTCTATTTGACTGAATGAGTGGGGGTATCGTGTTAGTTGGTATTCAGACTCAGCATATCATAAGAGGGAGCGAGGCTGAGCTATACGATTTCTCTTCCAAATTTGGAAAACCAGTTGTATCACTCAGCTCATCGTCAATATTCCTTGCTTCATAAATCGAATTTCGGAGGTCTATACCCCCTATAAAATAGCTGAACGTAAGCAAACAGCAATAGCTTCGAGGAACCAGTGAAACGGAAGTATGAAATTCACACGGGGAATGAAACGGGAGACCGAAGAGAGCACCAGCTGAGTGGATTTGATCCCAATATTCTAGAGCTACGAAAAGGTGTTTTTCAGGTTTGCAAAGAAAAATGAGGTATGTCCTTACACCTTGATTTGACCACACATTGTTCTCTAACTTAAGATGGAACTTCTTCAAATGTCCAAAGCAAGTCAGCAAGTTGTCTGACAACCACAAGCCGATATTTACAATGATTACAATGATTTCCAGAAATCAGTATCCAAAGGCACAGTACATAAGAATAATTCTGAGTTACTTTTTTTAAAGGTAAACTGGAAGTGTTGGTAAAGAGTAGTGCATCGGTGGCGAAGAAAGGGAGAAAATCCGTCGAATTCGTGAAAGATAAGGCGTCTTCAGAACAAAGGAAATAGAGACTGTACGAGATTACCATGGCGGAACTGGCATGGAAGGTATTCATACGAGATTTCTGGTTTCGTAATTGCGCAGAAGGCTGACAACATCAAGCCGAAACTGTCCAATACTGCCTCCCACTGTCACTAATAGTCATGAAGTTCCTACTGGGAGTCCCTTGAGATGGTGAGGCCTCTATGACTCCATTAAAACTCGTCCGCTATGGGTGCGGCATTCACACTATACACAATTTCTGCCCCCTTATAAGGCTCTATCTAGGCGGTTCCGTTCTGACAGCGACCATGGCATACTGGGACGCCACAGATTCATTAGGGGAGACCATTGTTATCGTGGACTGTGCCTTAAAGATTTACCTAACTCTCCTCCGCTTTGCCCGCCTGCCATTCATTCAAAACCGGAGCTTATTACTTTAATGCTCAATGTGGGGTGAAGAATGAATCGCCATAAGTCGAAAGTCTTTTTTTGTCATTTTTGAACGTTGGTTGAAAGCCATTTGCTTTCGTAAAAGCCGCCTTGATTGCTTCGCATTTATCAAATGAAGCCAGTCGGCCGAGATTTTCTTTTCTGGCGAGCCTCCACCCCGCATGGGTGAAAACACCGTAGCCTGAGTGATATGGTTATTGGGGTCGATTTGAAGTGAATAGAGCTACAGTCCCATGCCAAACTCACCAAAACAGTATGTTTTCCTCGGAATACTCGGACTGAAGGAACTTCGTGAATTGTGCGCGTCCATCAGCGTCTGAGATGACGTGATCGAAAGCGAATTGCCATTCATTTGGACTGAAAATGTGCAAATGTCAGGGGATGTCAAATGAGGTAAACGAGCTGACTGGAAAATAACAAAAAGGCCAGTCAAAAGACCTTTTCCAAGTAAGGGATATCAAATGAATGGATGAAAAGGTGAAAGACGGTGACAATGTTTTGGAAAAACGAATAAACGATTAAATATTTAATGTCACTTGACCAACCAGCAATCGTCGCAAACATGTTTTTAGCCATGTGAAAGTAACTGGACAGAGTTGGTGAAGAGGAAAACTCCCATGGGAAGGGGTTAGGCAAGATTCTTTAGACAGTTCCCAAATCGCAGAGGAACGACCAAAACTGGTACGATGAAATGAACGTGGACGTTTTCTCATCTTAATCAACTTTTTTTTTACTTTGTAAACGACCTCCATATCATTGAAACTCTTTCGTGAAGAAAGATATTTACCCAGAGGCCTTCGAAGGGAATCCCAGAAATTTCATAAACATTTCCAAAAGTTCGGAATGCTGGTCGACTCACAACTGATAATGAACTTCTTTAGGATCAAGTAAACGAAGGGAAGGGGCTGGTAAAACAGGAAGGCGTATGAATTTGTAATAGGATGTCAGCCAAAAGTCTCCAGTAGATGAAGAAAATGCTCCCTCATTGAGCAAATTACTAGATCTGACATAGAACCGACACAGCTCTCCTCGACCATATGGTGAGGCAGTGGCGATGCAGATTTTCCTAAGTTTCGGCAAGGGCTTCACTGATCGCATGCGCCCACTAGGGTTTTGTTGGCGCCAGGGCTTATACGATCTCAATTTCGGGAAAAGGAATAGCTCAGGCCATGCACAACAGCCCAAAAAGATCCCTCTATCCCTCTTTGTTGGGGTTTCTCGTTTTCAATGACGTTCAGCACAAGCTCATGTACGTGCACGGAGAAACCATCCTTCTTCTGCAACTACAGGATTAAGTGACGCATCTGCACAAGTGGCTCTACTGGTTGGCCTTCAGCTACCTAGATCATCGTGAATGATGGAAATATTTAACTCATAGGACAGGGAGGAGAATCATGGTTGAAAAAGTAAAGGGCAAAGCCATTGAGGATTTCGCCATCTTGAATTATGCTGTTCTATCTCTCCAGCCCTGTTCTTGAAGTTTAATAATCCTGCCCTAGAAGGCGCTTAAGCTGAAAATTGGTGCGAAATTTCCTTTCGTGCAAAAGGATGAACCGAAAGGACGTTTTGGGGAGACAGTGCGTCAGAATTGCCCTCGCATTTGTGCGAATCTGCCTCAATGTCCCATGACTATGCATAATGAGCCATGGTGAATAGATAATTTTGAATGGAATATCCAGCGTTATTGATCCATCTGCAGCTTCTTGCAGAGCCATACTGCTTAATTTACATTCGAGAAGTGGAAATTTTCAGTTCCACACTCTTTTAGCACTGAATCGCTCAACCAGTTCATGCAAATAAAATTTGCTTGAAGAATAGGCCAGTATCTCTTTCATATTTCTGAAGCAGGCAGTATGGAGTGGACGTAAGTGCCGTGATAGCTCTTGGACAGGGAATTTCATCAAAACAACAAGGATTATTTCAGTAAGTACTATCCAGCTGAGCAGGGTTTCAAAGATTTCGGAATTAGGAGAAAAATGGCAAAAGGTCTTAATTAGCCAGCACTACTGGGTAGTCGAAACTGAGGGTCAGTATTAAATTAGGTACTAGTTTCCCAAGTAGCGGCTCTCCTTGGTAAATTTCCTATCTTACNGGGCTTTGAGGTAAGAATTTGACGTTTTACCTTCTCAAAAACGAATCTTTCTATCGTTACATCGCTCCCTTGATAGTCGTATTAAAAAATGAATATAATTGTGTGAGTTAGGTCGTGGATTTCTTGTGAAAGTAGATTCATATTCTGCTATAAATGAACGGGCCAAATGGCATCAACGCAAGTTCATAAATTCGCAACCTTATTTGTCGTTCATATGGCCACAAATCAAATGATATCATAGGAGGTGGTCTCACTTAAGCAAGCAAACCACAAATAGTCCCTTCTATTTTTAGCTAAGTCGGAATACGAGGGCGTTTCTTCAAAACGAGTTTGATTGACGTCAAAAGAGTTTATCCTTAGACTCTTTCATCTTTTAGCCAGCCAGATTATATTGCAGACCTGATGGGAAGACTTAAATTCTGATCCTTCTTAATCCAGAACTCGGTTATTTGTAGCTTATCGAGATAGGCGATGATGGTTTATAAGGCTGACATTTCGGCGCTGAAGAACTCTTTCAAAAACTGCGGAGACGAAGAAATTCTATAAACCAGTGTACGGACAAAAGTTTGTAGAATTAATTTTGTCTTTTAAGGCTTCGAACAAAGCGATGACGCCAAAAAGTCAGCCTAATAAATTGTTGTTGCTAGCTTAATGGCCAAAGCCCCCAAAACGCCAACACTCACAGGGTACCAAAATTGAACATTTGTGACCAATCCAACTACAAGAAGACTTCTCTTGATATGGGCCTAAGAAGGTAGCTAACAAGTGAAATTCGGGGGCTCCAGAAGGACGATTCTGTATGTAGCAGGCTTGTAGGAAAGCGCAAAGCAATAGGAAGATTAACTGAAGTGGGGTGACTGGAACTTTTTGTGTCTCGATACCAGTAAAGGAATGGGACCTACTTCTCCCTCCACTTCCTCCCTTCATGGCAACTATTTCGAGTGTTTTTTGTGCCAAGAAAGAAATCCCTCAACACATACAAAGCTGTACTACCCCAAGGCTTCCCTAGATTCACTATTTGTTGTGGGACTTGACTGTCACATTCTTCTACATTCGATTTTCATTCATGCTCATCGTCTTCATTGTGATTACCTAATAAGGGTTTTATGTCACCAAAGATGCACACATTTTCGCGTCCAGACACAATAATTAGTTCATTACTGCCTTAATAGGGCGCTCGAACGTTACGGTACAAAACTACCGTATAACGTTCGAATAATGAGAACTTCATGTTGCTTATTTCATTGACGTCGTCAGCGGTGGTCACGGTGGTCACGGCTTCAAGCCCGTTAATTAAAATGCGAGCTCATTCGACCACGTCGATGCGACGTGAAAAAGAAATGCTGACGTCGTTCTTCCCGATGCAAACAGCCACCTCCCCCATCGCACCCTGTCTCACCTGCAGCCTTAACCATGGGTTCAGTAAATTGCGAAGCAGGTGCAGCCGCTCCGTTAATCGGAATCCCCTCATGCCAATGATAGAATTACTTATAAATTCATTTGTGGAAGGAAATGAAGGAAATGGTGGGGAGAGGTCAGAGCCCGAACACACGTCAGACCAGGAAATCATTGAGCAACATCACCTCACTAGTGCTTCACACTGACGCACTTGTTCAGAACAACAATCAGGAAGTTTTAAGAGCATGAATGGAGCTTGAGAAAGATCATGACAAAATGATTGATAAGAAGGTATCCAAGCTTTTCATAAAATGGATGGACAAGGTGCTCGAAATGAAAGCGATGTATTCCTGGATGGCCATAAATGTGCCAAAAGAAAAAACTGAAAACAATAGAAGAGTCTGAAGCGAAACAAGCGAATAATGCTTGAGTGGATATTCTGACTCGGCTTCACAAAAGAGCGGAACGTCAGCGGCTTACGTCGATTGCGAAAATTTCGCCTCACGAAAGGCAGGAATGCGTAATCAGTACCTATCAGTGCCAATATCTAATCTGTGAATGAAAAGAAAAACGGGACCGTATTGGACCCTCCTGGAATGCTGGAATATGGGAAAAAAGGTGGAGGAAGGGGGGGGGGGATGTCGCCCTGCCAGNTATGGCCACAAATCAAATGATATCATAGGAGGTGGTCTAACTTCAGCAAGCAAACCACAGATATTCCTTTCTATTTTTAGCTAAGTCGGAATACGAGGGCGTTTCTNTGCTTGAGTGGATATTCTGACTCGGCTTCACAAAAGAGCGGAACGTCAGCGGCTTACGTCGATTGCGAAAATTTCGCCTCACGAAAGGCAGGAATGCGTAATCAGTACCTATCAGTGCCAATATCTAATCTGTGAATGAAAAGAAAAACGGGACCGTATTGGACCCTCCTGGAATGCTGGAATATGGGAAAAAAGGTGGAGGAAGGGGGGGGGGGATGTCGCCCTGCCAGAGTCAGATTGTACAGTATCAGCCTTTTCAGCAATACAGAGCTCTTCAGACCCTGATAATACAACAGCCTACTTCCCCACCCACACCTTTTCCACCTTCCCCTTCGGCTTGGGAATCTGAAGCATAGGCTTGCATTTTGGCTGACCGATGGTTTTGGCGTTACCTTAATGGATGTGGTTGTAAGAAAAAGAAGGTAAGTGAAAAATCAATGATGGTTCGTGAATAAGGCTATTAGTCATTTTCACGCAATTGCTTCCTTCATATTAAAATGATTGTGGGAAGAGTTACGAGAATCTCCAGGGACCAGTGACGTATTATGATGAAGTGATATGGAAGGAGTCGACGAAGGATGTGGAGTTTTGGCCGAAGACAATACATTTCTTGACCAGACCCTGATCGGGGCCATTTTATATATCGGGTGACCTTCCAGAAAATGTCAATTTCCTTGCGAAAACAATGAACACCGCGGAATCAAAACCCTTTCCAGAGCCAGTTCTTATGCTGGAAGAGAGGGACACCCCCTATGAACTCTATCTTCCTCATTAACGTCACAATAAAGACATATTCCGAGTGGTAAACCCATACGTTAGCTTGAAAGGTATTCAAGAAATTCAGTTTTCCCTTCATATGTTTACCTTTCATGCAAAAGACTAGCCTTAGCGAAGTCATACTCTGCAGAAAGAATCACTACGAGTGGTTTTTGGTTACCACCTAAGGTATGAAGCCCTCGCATTCCACAACGAACACAATGAAAAGCAGGAGTTCCTCTCCTTGAGCTATTTTTGCAGTCATCTCTATTTCCTTCTACTCTTCCTCTCCACATTCTTTCATTGTTTTCTTTTGTCTCACCACTTCATAATGCCCTCTCTGCTATTCACCCCTATTTCGAAGATCTACTCTACTATGAACTCTATGTGTTTCATAGGAATATGTGCGTGTGCATTTCTTGTAATATGTGCGTGTTTCATTCCCATAATATTTCAATTGGAACGTAAGCATTCACAATTGTGACGCACGAATGAATCTTTTCAAGGTATTATGGGGATGAAACACGCACATATCACAGGAAATCATCAGGGAGATGCATGTAAACGTATCGATTCTTCATTGTCGCACGAAGACTCGCCGTAGTCGAAGCTCAGGTTCGGACGTTCCTCGGGTT